GCAGCTCTAATCTGCTGGGGCAGGGCATGAAGCCTACCCGTTATCAGAACCCGGGAAGCCATGAGAACCTGTCATGGGAGATGAGGGAGTAATGGAAAAACAGTTTCTCCACCCACGATACTTCTGACACCAGCTGTATGGAGTTTCTTTCCCCCACACCGAGCAATTCCCCAGTTCTCTGCAGACGCTAACTGGGTATTCAAGGATTCAGTTCAATTGTGACACTAACTACCTGGAGTTAGTACAGACCCCATAAGTTATGGGTTCGGTCCCACCTGATGCCCTCACTTCAGGTGCCAGTTGCAAATAGTGGTTCCCAACATCCCTGCACTTCTATCTGGCTTAGCTACAAATTGGGAGTTCACACAACACTCTCCTCTTGTTGGATAAGTTGCTAGGACAGCTCACAAAACCCAGGGAAAAGGCTGGGCGAGGTGGCTCACACCTCTAATCCTAGCACTCTGGGAGGCCGAGGCATGCGGATCACTCAAGCTCAGGAGTTCAAAACCAGCCTGAGCAAGAGGGAAACCTTGTCTCTACTATAAATAGAAAGAAATTAATTGGCCAGCTAAAAATATATATAGAAAAAATTAGCCGGGCATGGTGGCACATGCCTGTAGTCCCAGCTACTCGGGAGGCTGAGGCAGGAGGATCGCTTGAGCTCAGGAGTTTGAGGTTGCTGTGAGCTAGGCTGACACCACGGCACTCACTCTAGCCTAGGCAACAAAGTGAGACTCCGTCTCAAAAAAAAAACAACAAAAAAAAACACCTATAACCTACAGTCCAACAATGCAGGGCTAATCACTAATCAACATTCTCTCTGTAAACCAATGAGATTTCCTGATGAACAACTTTTGTAATCACTCCCTCTCCTGATTTGTCCTTCCTATCTTTAAAAACTTGAACTTCTCTTTTGTTCTCTGGAGCACTCACCAAGGCAACTTGGAAGCGTGGCCCAGGCTGCAGTCCTCACCTTTGGCCCAAATAAACTCTCTATGTTAATTTTGTTATAGCTGCCTGGGCTGATGGAGACGGAGGCACCAAAAGATGATGACATTGACTCCCAGGAGGCGAGCTGGGTGGCTGAATAGGGAGGCTGCAGTGTAGACAGCTGAGGGAGCTCTCAGGCACCCAGACGGACGGACTGACGGAGCAGCCACCATTGCCAGATTGCCAGTCACTGGGCCCAGGGGATAAGAGCGCTGGCGGGGCGGGATGGGCGTGGCGCCTTATGATCATACCCTCCATCCTGGAAATGAGACTCATTGCTGCCCCCCCCCCCCCATTGCTCAGAAGAGACAACAAAGTCTAGCAAGGGAGGCAGGTCCCAACCACGTGCCTGCAGGGAGTTCTGGATTTCAGCGCTGATGGAGGAAAAAGCTATGACCACAAGGTGGCAGTAACACACAGAACGTTTTATCTGCATGTGGCTTTGACAGATTTGCATACAGGGGAAGTCCCTGGAGATGTGCACTCTCCAAAGGCAAAGGCTGGGAAGCTACTGCCCACAGGGCGAGGAGGGCAAGGGAACGGTGAGGGGCATCAGAGAGGGGCTTTCATACCAAGGCAATGTTCAGAGCACAGCAGAGGCTCTGGGTCAGAGAGCTCTGAAAGGCAGCAGATATGTAGAACCCTTTATAACCCCAGGGTTTGGCTTACCTGTGGCAGCAGATACTATGAAAAGCATACAGGCTCTGTCTAAAATCTCACTTATAAGAGCTATATTTAAAACAACTGGATGTATACAATTTTGAGTTTGGCCCTACAGGGTTTTGAGCTAACAGTCTCCACCTGCTACAAAGTACAGGACACAGGGTCAGATAGCCACCTTTGGCTCATTTCTATAATAGTGTCCCAAATGGGAGGATCAGGGGTCCTTGGCAAACGACAGAAATGACCGCCACGTCATCTAAGAAAAGGGCACGTTGATTTTAATGAGACTTGAGAACAGCAATGTTCACAATGTTTTATTTCTATATATTCCCCTAGAGAAAAAAAATAATTAAATAGTTGATTAAGGGAGACGTATGCCTACAAAAGGAATTTGATCTAAGGCTTTTCCAAAAAACCACTAATCGACTTGAATTTCCATGAGGGCCAGAACCATATCTGTTAAATTCTCCTCCAAATAATGCCCAGCACAGATCTTTTTTTTTTTTTTTTGAGACAGAGTCTCACTTTGTTGCCCAGGCTAGAGTGAGTGCCATGGCATCAGCCTAGCTCACAGCAACCTTAACCTCCTGGGCTCAAGCGATCCTCCTGCCTCAGCCTCCTAAGTGGCTGGAACTATAGGCATGCGCCACCATGCCTGGCTAATTTTTTTCTTTATATATTAGTTGGCCAATTAATTTCTTTCTATTTATAGCAGAGACGGGGTCTCGCTCTTGCTCAGGCTGGTTTCGAACTCCTGACCTCGAGCAATCCGCCCACCTCAGCCTCCCAGAGTGCTAGGATTACAGGCATGAGCCACCGCGCCCGGCCCCCAGCACAGATGTTGTTGTAGTTTACGAAGTTCGGCCTAGGTCAGCCCCTGGCTGACATGCCAGCCTTAGCTCTGCCACATGTTCTTTCATGCCCGTACTCTCTGTTTCGGCCACACTGACCCTCTCTTAGTCTCTCATAGTCACCTGCACAGGGTCCTTTCGCACGCTGCTCCCTCTGCCTGGAACGCCCCTCTCGCCCTCCTCATACCGATAACTCCTGCTCAACTTTCAGCTCTCACATCGCTTCCATGCGGGTGGGGTTTACGTCTGCTGTTCCTCCCAATTGTACCCCCGGCATCTAGCACAGTGCCCCCCACATGGTAGACATTGAATAAACATGTGACAAGAGGATGAATGAGAACTGGAGGGAAGCAGGGACAGGGACGAAGGCGGAAGTCCTAAGGGTAAAGATGCCTGGGTTTGTAGGATAAGAGAGGAGATTCAATTGAAGCTACTAATATTCATCTTTCTATTGCTGCCATAATACATTATCACAAACTAAGTGCCTAAAAACCACATAAATCTGGCCGGGTGCGGTGGCTCACGCCTGTAATCCTAGCACTCTGGGAGGCCGAGGCAGGCAGATCTCTCTAGCTCAGGAGTTTGAGACCAGCCTGGGCAAGAGCGAGATCCTGTCTCTACTAAAAATAGAAAGAAATTATCTGGACAACAAAAATATATAGAAAAAAAATTAGCCGGGCATGGTGGCACATGCCTGTAGTGCCAGCTACCCGGGAGGCTGAGGCAGGAGGATCACTTGAGCCCAGGAGATTGAGGTTGCTGTGAGCTAGGCTGATGCCATGGCACTCTAGCCTGGGCAACAAAGTCAGACTCTGTCTAAAAAAAACAAAAAACAAAAAACACACCACATAAATCTGTTATCCTTCAGTTCTGAAAGTCAAAATTCCAAAAGTCAAGGCTATGTTCCTTCTGGAGGCTCTGGCGGAGGATCTAATTCCTTGCCCTTTCCAGCCACTTGCACCTCTTGGCTGGGGGCTTGTACCAAGCTGACTTTGCCTCCACAGTCACATTGCTTACCCTAATTGTGACCCTCCACCTCCCTCTTATAAGGATTCTTGTGGTTACACTAGACCCACCTAAATCATCAAGGGTAGTCTTCCCATGATTCTTGACTTAATCACATCTTTGAAGTCCCTTTTGCTATATAAGGTACCATATTCACAGGTTCCAGAAATTAGGATATCACATGTTTGGGGAATCAGTATTCTGCCTACCATGGAAGGGTAAAACTACGGACCCTGCTTATGTAACCTTCACCGTGGAGAATTCATCCAGTAGGACCACTCGTGTGTCCCGAGACCTGGGTGCCAGGCCCCAGGATGTAGAGAGAAAACAACCTGATCTCTCATGGGAGGAGCCTGTGGTCTAGTCTGGGAGAGAAAGGACCCTAATGCAGTGTGATAAGAACTCCGATTAGGGTATGATAAGGCTTGCTTGACAGATGGGTTAGCCAAGAGTCTGCAGGGAAAACAGGATCTAAAAGGATCTAAGACCCGATGAACAGAGTTAACCAGGCAAGTTAACCTGTCTATACAGGTGTGATACCATGCAGAGATATTCCAGTCTCATGATGAATATCTTGGGAATTCTGAGCATTTATGGGTGACAAATAAAAGAAACTGCCACCATAAACTGCTTTGCGAATGTTAAATGGGATAATGTTCCCCCTTGTCTTCCCTTTAAAAGTGAAAGTTGGGCAGGGAACACGGTGGCTCACACCTGTAATCCCAGCACTCTGGGAGGCTGAGGCGGGAGGATCCCTTGAGATCAGGAGTTCAAGACCAGCCTGAGCAAGAGCAAGACTCCATCTCTTCCGAAAAATAGAAAACTTAGCTGGGCGTGGAGGCCGAGGTAGAAGGATCCCTTGAGCCCAGGAGTGTGAGATTGCAGTGAGCTATGATGACACCACTATACTCTAGCTGGGGTGACAGAGCGAGACCCTTTCTCAAAAAAACCCAGAAACCGAAAACCAAAACAAACAAATAAACCCCCAGCAGTTAAATTAATAAATTCAGGAGAAACTCTGCAGGTCAGCCAGGAGTTGGGGGGGAAGGAGGTAAAACAAGGAGAGAAAACAGTCTGCAAAGTGGAGGGGTTTGCGTTATTTTTACCACAACCGTGAGAGCAGCCAAGAGCACAGTGGCACGCAGAGCAAACGCAGTTATTATTAGGGTGGGGGCCGAAGCTCTACTGGGCACACTCCACTTGCCAGTTGCCCTGGCAACAGGCTCTGACTTTAGCCTAAGGATGGTTCAAGGAGGACAGCTTCATGCAAATAAAGCTGTAATTAGGGATGGAGCTCTATTTGGTCTGACTTTGGTCCACCTTTGGAGAAGAGCTGAGGGAGACTTTGGAAGAGGTTTGCTTGCTGACCAAGAGCAATGTTCATAATAGTTTGAACCACGAAGAGTTGCTTAAAAGTTGAGCTGGAGCACACACGATGGAAAAAAAAGCAAGAACTTCCTTCCAGCCCTGGGAATCTGGTAGGAATCAGTGTTACACGGTAGCCAACATTTATTGAGCATTTTCTATGGGCCAGCCTCCGTTTTAAACACCTTATGTATATTATCCACTTAATCTTACAACAATCCTATGAAGGAGACATTATCAGGGCGCCCATTTTACAGTCAAGGCAACCAAAGCTTGGGGAAGGTCGCTTTCCAAATGTTCCCGGGAGTGAGCGGCAGCGCTGGGATTAGAACCCAGGTCTTCGGCTTAGGAAGCTTAACCACGGACAGTGCCTTCCACTCAGCTGGGTGGCCCTGGGGAAGGCCCTGAAAGAAGCACAGGGCACAGCACAGGCTTGAAGGATGGCTAAGCTGAGCTTAGCCGGCAGGGCTGTGGGACTCCAGGAAGGGACACTCCAACGCGGGGATCCCGGCTTCTCTCCTCTTGCGGGTAGGTGTGCACATCCAGTTTCCCCGGCTCAGGGCCCAGCCCCGCCAGGGGCGCGCTTCTGGCTGCGCCAATCGAACGCGACCAGCGCACCCAGGGAGATGAGGACCAGGCCGGCCAGCCCCAGGCGAACGAGGTTCCCCCGGGTGTAGTCCGAGGAGCCAGAGTCTGCGGGGCGGAGAGGACAGAGAGAGGCCGTCAGCGTCCCGACCTGCAGTCGGAGCCCCGCCACGCGGGTTTCCACCCGCCCCTCCGCCCGGGGGTGGAGTTGGGAACCCGGGTCCCCAGTCTTAAAGTTGAGGGTGAGTTAATGAGGGCTTCAACTCCAGGGTCTGAGGGAGGAGGGACTGGGGGACCCCTGGATCTGAGGGAGGAGGGACTGGGGAACCCCTGGGTCTGAGGGAGGAGGGACTGGGGAACCCCTGGGTCTGAGGGAGGAGGGACTGGGGGACCCCTGGGTCTGAGGGAGGAGGGCTGGGGCTGCACCCCTGGGTCCGAGGGAGGAGGGGCTGGGGGACCCCTGGGTCCGAGGGAGGAGGGGCTGGGGACCCCTGGGTCCGAGGGAGGAGGGGCTGGGGACCCCTGGGTCCGAGGGAGGAGGGGCTGGGGACCCCTGGGTCTGAGGGAGGAGGGGCTGGGGACCCCTAGGTCGGAGGGAGGAGGGACTGGGGAACCCTGGGTCCGAGGGAGGAGGGGATGGGGACCCCTAGGTCGGAGGGAGGAGGGGCTGGGGACCCCTGGGTCTGAGGGAGGAGGGCTGGGGGACCCCTGGGTCCGAGGGAGGAGGGGCTGGGGGACCCCTGGGTCCGAGGGAGGAGGGCTGGGGGACCCCTGGGTCCGAGGGAGGAGGGGCTGGGGCGGGCCGCCGGGCCTCTCACCTTCCGAGCTGATGACCAGCGGCTCACTGCGCTGCGACAGCACGTAGGGGGCGGAGGGCGTGTGGTAGTAGCAGCTGTAGGTGCCCGGGGCGCGGGCGCCGGGCAGCGGGAAGTCGGCCCAGCGCTGCGCGGAGTCGCGGAACTGCAGCGGGGCCGCCACGCCCTCGCGGTACAGCGCGAAGCTCATGCCGCGCACGCGGCCGGCGCAGCGCAGGCTCACGTTGGCGCCGCGCGCCACCACCGGCCCGGGCAGCGCCACCAGCGACGGCCGCGGCAGCTGCTCTGCGGGGGGATGCGGGCCTGAGAGCGGGGCGCCGCGGGCGGGCGCGCCCGGTTCTCTCCCCTCCGCCTCTGCCCGTCACTCGGCACCTCTCCTTGCCCCTCCCCGTCCGCGTGCCGTCTCTGCCTGTGCCTCTCTGTGCCCCTCTCCCGCGTCGGCCCCGCACGCCTTCTCCGCGTCTCTCCCTCCACCCGCAGGTCTCTTTCCCTCCGCTCGGGGCCTCACTAACGTCTCTGCGTCTCTGTCTCCCCGTCCGTGTTTTCGCTCCCCCAGGTCCTCGTTGTGTTTCCGTGCCTCTCCCCGGGTTTCTCAGCGTAAGCGCTGGTGACATTTTGGAGAAGTCTTTGTCGCTCGGGGCCGCTGTCCCCTGCGCCGTAGGGTGTTGAACAGCACAGCCCGGCCCATCCACTAGATGCCAGTAGCACCCCCTCCCTCAGTTGTGACAGCCAAAAATGTCTCTATGTAATGACAGAGATCACCTGGGGGCACAACTACCCCTGGTGGAGAACTACCCGGTTCTTGGGAGCCTCTCCCTACCTCCACGTAGTTTTCCCCCCTCTGCGTCATTGTGCAAGCCTGCCTGTCTCTCTTCGTATCTCTCTCCCTGTATCTCTTCTCTCTTCGTGTGTCTGTGAATCTATCCATCTCTCTACCCAGCTCCGTCTCGCTTTCCCTGTGTCTTTCTGTCCCTTCTCCCCACCTGTCTGTCTCTGTGAATCTGTGTATCTTCAGCTCTGAAGACAGATTTCTCTGTCTCATTGCCTCTCTCTCTCTCCCTCCTCTTCGCTCCCTTATAACATCCCTGTGCTGGGGCTCCTCCCCCACCCCAGGAACTCACCTGTCACCAGCAGTTCCAGCTCATCACTGGGCTGGGACCAGACACCTGGCTTCCAGTCAGGCCTCCGGTAGCTGCAGCAGTAACTGCCTCCTTGGGCCAGAGTCACCTCCTCCAAGAAGAACTCCGCCAGCTCTGAGGACACATCCCTGAAGAGTAGGGGGCCTGTCTCTCCAGGCTTGAAGAGTGCAAACCTCCAGGCAACTTGAGGCGCTCGGCACCTCAAGGTCACATTGACCCCAGGGGTCACAACTGCAGCTGGCTGAACCCCTAGCCATGGCTTGGAGTAGGAAGCTGGGGGGACTGAATAAATGGGGCATCCTGAGTCCTCAGGCTGCCTGGGAGCCCCACAAAATGAAGGAGGAGTTGGGGAAGGAGGAAAATCACCTTGGGCAATTGCTGTCCCTTTTTTGGCCTGAGTTCCCTGTTTGTAAAAACCAGGAGGGACTGGACTACAACCAAGGCTTGTCAAAATTAGCATAAACTTCTGACCTTTACTCCACAGATTTTAAGCACGGTTTCAAAGGGTGGGACCCCAGAACTTTGTAATTTTAAAAAGCTTTCCAGAACGTTGGCAACATATTTAACATTTCAAGAGTTGCCAAAACTTGTTATCTATTGGGGGGAAAAATAATTCTGGAACCCTACCTCACACCATTCCCCCAAACAAATTCCAGATTAATTAAAGACCTACAAATGTTTTGTTTTTTAACTATAGGAAAAATATAGAAACTATAGGAAAATGTATTTATCTTGGGGTAGGGAAGGCTTCTTAAAATATAAAATGAAAAATTTTATGGAAGATTAATTAATTTGACCACTTCAAAATTTTTAAGTTGTGATGCTAAAGGACAAACAAATGAAACTAGGAAAAAATGACAGTACTGGCAGAAATTACTTATTCATAAATCACATAGATTAAGCATATAGAAAGAAATCCTAGAACCTACCCAAGGGAAAGTTGGGCAAAACATGAACAGGCAATTCATAAAAGAGGCAATTCACAATTCTCAAAGAAAAAGCTACTCAATCTTAGTAGTAATCATTTAAAAAAATAACTGAAGCAACACACTACCATATTTTTGTCTATTAGGTTATCAAAAATTAAAAGAATGGTCAGGTTGGTCTGAGTGCAGTGGTGTTTACAACTAATTGATCACAACCAGTTACAGATTCCTTTGTTCCTTCTCCACTCCCACTGAGTCACTTGACCAGCCTTAAAAAATAATAAAAAATTAAAAAATGGTTAATATTCAGTTTGAGTGAATATGTAGTGAAACAGGCAGTCAGAAGCACTTCAAGTTCATGTTTTGAGATGGCAATTTGCCAGTTTCTATCAAGATACACAAAGAACACGACCAAGGACCCAAGAATTCCACCACTTTCCCCTTGACAAATGCACATCCAAGTGCACAGGGAACTAGGACAGGAGTGCTCTTTGCAGCATAGACTGTGAGGGTGAAAACAACCTAAATGTACATAAAGAGGGGGATGGCCAAACAAACTAGAATCCGGCCATACAATGGCAAATGCTAGTCAGTAATTTAAAAAAATAGGTACAGCTAGCTATAGTGACATGGAAATATGTCCAGGAAAAATTGTAAAGTGAAAAACATCAGATGCAGAATGGTGTGAATCATGAAATATCAATTTTGCATTGGAAAGAAAAAAAAGCATATAAATACATATACATATGTGTGTGTGGAAAAAATTTTATAAGGATTCAGAAGATTATTTAAGAAAGATGGGGAAGGGGAAGAAGGAGGCTGTTATATATCCTTTGGTAATGACTGAATTTTTAAAACCATGAATATATATTAGTATATAGTAACTTTATCATTAAAAAAAACTAATTTAAAATAAATGGATAAGGCCAGTCACTGTGGCTCATGCCTGTAATCCCAGCATTTTGGCAGGCTGAGCCAGGAGGAGAGCTTGAGCTAGAACCTTGAGTTTGAGACCAGCCTGGGCAACATAGTGAGACTCCCATCTCTAAAAAAAAAAAAAAAAAATTTTTTTTAAATTAGCCAGGCGTGGTGGCACATGCCTGTAGTCCCAGCTACTCAGGAGGCTGAGGTGGGAGGATCACTTGAGCCAAGGAGTTTGAGGCTGCAGTGAAGTATGATCATGCCACTGCAATCTAGCCTGGGTGACAGTGAGACCCTGTCTCAAAAATTAAATAAAATAAATTGATAGCTAAGGTAGTAATGGCTCCTTGGATAATTCTTATTTGAAGTTGCAGAGGGAGAAGGTTTGAGAGAAAAGAAAGGTCTCAGCCATCAGAAAACCTAGGAAGAAACCCAGCACGATCCCAGGGTGGGGGACCCTACTTTTGTGGAAAGTGGATTCCAAACGGAGGAAGTTGGGAGCTAATTATAATTGCAGGAGATCCTATCTCTTGGTTTTTTTCCACCCTTAGTTCTTATCTCATAGATCCCATCTCTCAAGCCCTGCACTGTGCCAAGCTCTGAGGTGAGGGTTTTACACATGTGATTTTATTAAATCCTCACAACAGCCCATTTTACAGAGAAGGCAATGAAGTCTTAGCAAGCTGTGGTCTCTTCAGGGTCACATTATGAATTAGATAGAGAAACTGAGGTTCTAGCTTAGGTGTCTTTAGCTCCAAAGTTCACAGTCCTCACTACTCACCTATAGTAGTCACTAAAGGGACTGAGGAAGGAAGGGAGGGAGGGAGAAAAGGAGGAAGGAAAAAAATTAAAAAGAAGGGGAGAGAGGGAAAAAAGGAAGGAAGGGAAATAAGGAAATCTGGGGTGGGGTTTGGCACCAAAGTAAAAATCCGAGTAGTTGGAAATGGGGTGTCAGGGATGGTGGGGGATGTTACTCACCAGACGGAGTGATGTCTGCGTGACACAGAGGCCCTGTAGAAGGTTGAGGGCGTTCGTTCTTTTTAAAGCCCTTTGGCTACCAGTCCCATCTCATGGGAAACCCAGGAATCTGAGTCCCCATCTCCCTTTCCTCTGGGAAACAAGAATCCTACCCTTACTTCCTCCTGTCTCAGTAGCCCGAAATCCAGACTTTGTTCCCCACCTACTTAAGAAGCCAGAAGTCTGGACCCAGCCCCCTCTTGCCTCTACACCCAGGAGTTCAGGGCTCCATCTTTCCAGGGGACAATAACCCGAGCTTGCAGTTTCTCCTCCCTGATTCAGGAGGCTGAGCCCCGAGCCCTTCTCTTCCCACGAACTCAGGACTCCTAACTTCCATCCCCCTTTGACGTCAGATTCCAGAAGTCTACGCTTTTGGCTTCAAAATTCTGGCTTTTGCCCCCCTCCTGCCTCAAGAACCATAGAAACCTGTCCCCAACTCCTTCCTCTTCCAGAATCTGTTTTCTCTTGCTTTAGGACCCAGGGGTCTAGGTCCCAGTCCTGTCTCCTTATTTGAACCTAAAATTCCAACCTCTGGGCTAGTGCTGTCTGGTGCCCCTGCAGGGTGTCTGGGTCCCCTAAGCACCTCTCTCTGTACCCTCTAGCCCAGCCAGGGACCCAAGAAGGAAGGGACAGCTCACAGAGGCTCAGCAGCTGGAGGATCAGCACCAGGGCCATTGTGGGGAGATCTCCGCTGGAGCTGGACCTAGAGCAGGGCTCACCATGCCCTCTCCCCTCCCAGGAAATGAGGCAACATCAGAAATCTAGAGCCCTGTTATCGGAAGAAAGGAGCGAGGTGGGGCCCTGGGTGAGTGTGTCATAGTCCTATGGTGCTGTGGAAAAAGTTGGGGGTGGGGGCAGTCATAACCTGTGGTGCACAGTAATTCAACTTAAAAAAAAATTAGCACCTATTATATGCCAGCTCCCTGCTGCGTGATGCTGGTGGCACAGAGAGGACTCATGCCCCGTTACTGCCCTCAAACAGTTACCACTTTGACTGAAAGATCCAGACCAGGTCAGGTCAGATTGGTTTTTTAAAAAGGGGATCTGAGCTATAAGGGCGGTAACATAGGGCACTGTGACAGCCCACAGAAGTCTCCTCACCCATCTGGAATGAGAACTAGCGCTTCCACAACGAGCTAATGCTGACCTCAAATGATAGGTCATTCATTCACCTCTGGGCCTCAGTTTCTTTACGTGTAAAGTGGGATTTCATAAATAAACTATAAAATGGGGACTATTTTATTCTGCCTTAGGAGGGCCGCAGTAGGAGGGCTGGAATTTGCTCCTCCGGAGCAACTGGAGCAACTTCCAGGCTGAGAGAGAAAGGAGAACATGGGTAGATGTGCAAATCAGGCTCCCCGCAAACTGGGACCACCGCCTAATTTCTCGCCATTGCCTCGGACTTCGCTTCTGGGCCAGTGCGCACGCGCAGACTCCAACAGCGGTGGCCTAGCACGCAGGGACCACAGCTCCCAGAGTCCTCCGCGTCCTCCTTCCGTCTCTGCGCTTCTCCTCCAGGGCGCACGAGCGACCCGGGAAGCGGAGGCTCGCGCGCTAGGACCACAGTTCCCAGAGTCCTCCGCGTCCTTCTTCCGTCTCAGCACTTCTACTCCAGGGCGCACGCGCGAGCCGGGAAGCGGAGCTTTGCGCGCAGGGACCACAGCTCCCAGAGTCCTCCGCGTCCTCCTTTCATCTCTGCGCTTCTCCTCCAGGGCGCACGCGCGAGCCGGGAAGCGGAGCTTTGCGCGCAGGGACCACAGTTCCCAGAGTCCTCCGCGTCCTCCTTCCGTCTCTGCGCTTCTCCTCCAGGGCGCACGCGCGACCCGGGAAGCGGAGGCTCACGCGCTAGGACCACAGTTCCCAGAGTCCTCCGCGTCATTCTTCCGTCTCAGCACTTCTATTCCAGGGCGCACGCGCGAGCCAGGAAGCGGAGCTTTGCGCGCAGGGACCACAGTTCCCAGAGTCGTACGCGTCCTTGCTGCTGCCGCGGAGACCAAGATGACCTCAAGTAAGTGCTGGCGTCGCCGGCGCGCGGGGTGCGGGTAGTTCCGGGAACCCCCGGGCAGCCCCCGGGCTAAGGCGGAGTGGAGTACTCGTGGAGGCGGTGGGGTCTGTTCTGGAGGGGGACGCAGAAGTCTCGAGGGGGCTTCTGCAGGGCGAGGGTAGTACGAGAAGGTTAGAGGTCACTGCGGGCAGCCCTTGCACGGGTGAACCTCCCGCCCACCCTCCAGGAATCGCCGCCTTCCTCAAGAATGCTTGGGACAAGGAGCCGGTGCTGGTCGTGTCCTTCGCCGTCGCGGGCCTCGGTGCGTGAGTGTCTCAGGCGCGAATTTGCATTGTCCACCCCGTGCCCCACGAGGTCCCACCACCCCTCACCAACACTCCATCAGCCCCCACTCTCTCTCCGTCTTGTACCCCCCGAGCCTCGTCGCTGCTCTCAACGTTCTGGGCCTCCACCAGTGTGTCCGCACCCCCACGACGTCCCCTCGTCTACCCCCATCCCAAACATAATTTCTCCACCACCACCCACCCCCAGCCTTCCCCGCCCCATACACACCTACCCAAGACGCCCTTAATCCCTCTAAGGGAGAGGTTCTGAATCCTGGTTGTGCATCATAAACACTGAGCACTAAATAAGTAACGTCCACATTTTCTTCCCTGTCATCGTCCCGCACCCCCTAGATATTGAACTGAGTTGTTTGGGTTGGAGGTGGGGCTGGGGAATCTGTACCTTGTGAAAATCCCCCATGGTGCTAATGTGCCTCCTTGATTGAGAACCTTTGCTGTGGAACGTGCTGCTCAAATTTTAACGTGCATTGGAATCCCTTGCGATAAATGATAAAATGTAGGTTCTGATTCTGTAGGTCTGGGTGGGGCCTGGTATTCTGCCAGTACTGCCACTCTGCTGGCCATCCACTGGGTAAGGTTCTAGAACACTTGTCCAGTATGGCAGCCACACCTGGCTACTGAGCACTTGAAGTGGGACCAGTAGGAATTGAGGTAGTACAAGACACTGGATTTCAAAAACTTAATATGACAGAAAGTATGTAAACTATCAAGAATTTTTTGTTGCATATATGTCAAAATGATAATGTTTTGGATATACCAATTTAAATACTTGTTAAAATTAATGTGGCTACTAGAAAATATAAAATTACATATATGGCCCTTATCTTTTTATTGGACAGTGCTAGCCTAGAACATTCCTTTTATTTTATTTATTTATTTAATTTTTTTTGAGACAGAGTCTTGCTTTGTTGCCTGGGCTAGAGTGAGTGCCAGGGCATCAGCCTAGCTCACAGCAACCTCAAACTCCTGGGCTCAAGTGATCCTCCTGCCTCAGCCTCCTGAGTAGCTGGGACTACAGGCATGCGCCACCATGCCCGGCTAATTTTTTCTATATATATTAGTTGGCCAATTAATTTCTTTCTATTTATAGTAGAGACGGGGTCTCGCTCTTGCTCAGGCTCATTTCGAACTCCTGATCTCGAGCAATCCGCCTGCCTCAGCCTCCCAGAGTGCTGGGATTATAGGCGTGAGCCACCACTCCCGGCCAGAACATTCCTTTTATGCACCCTACCCAACCCCCCAGGACTGCCAGCTCCCAACCAAGAGGGACCATAAGGACTGTAACTCATCAAGTGACTGTTGTTTGTGCAGCTTTCTCTCCCCTAGTTTGAAAGTCTTTATTCTTCCGGAATATTCCCAAGACACTCCCCTGGGATGTTCCATGATGATCCTACATTCAGATGCATTCATTCCATGATTGGCATTTGCCCCCTCCTCTCTGCCTATTGGCCAGACGTATCTATATGCTGGGCTCCCGCCCCTTTCTCCACCTACCCCTCCAAAAAAGTTTTAAACGCTTCTACCTATAAATAGGGTTCCCCACAGAGCAAAGGATCCTCGTGGAGGTGCTGGCTCCTCTGCTCCCTCCCCTAATGCACCTGACCTCAGGTTCTGCCCTCCTCTCCCCCAACCCCAGCCACTTTCCCCTGGGCCTCAACCCTGTGTCTCTCCACAGCTGTAATTTTGCCCCCGATCAGCCCCTACATGAAGTACTCTATCATGATCAACAAGGCCACGCCCTACAACTACCCAGGTGAGTAGGGGCCAGGCAAGGCTGGCTGAGATAGGCCTGGATTCTGTGCTGGGGGAGGGGCAGTAATGGGCAGTTCTTTCCTAAGCAGGGATCAGAGATTCAGCGCTGGCATCTGGATCTTTTCCCTATCCAATTTTTTAAATTGAGATACAATTCACATACTATTCTGTTTTTGTGCTTACTCTCCCTCCCTGTCTCTAGGTCTCTCATCTTCCCTGCTTCTCTTTGCATTAGTGATTCTCTGACCTTTACTCTCTTTCTCTCTCATCTCTCCCTGGGGTCCTGTTTCCCTCTCTGTATATAAACTGACAGACCAGCTCTTTCCAGGGCCTTGGAGATCTGCTGGTCTCAGTGCCCACCCTCCTGTCCCACAGTGCCCGTCCGAGATGATGGGAACATGCCTGACGTGCCCAGCCACCCCCAGGACCCCCAGGGCCCAAGCTTGGAGTGGCTGAAGAACCTGTGAGCACCTCCACCTACGGAAGGAGGCTTTTCCTCCCCATGACCCCCAATAAAAATGTGAAAACCTGAGCTGTGTGTGATTAGAGGTGGGAACAGTAGACAGTACCAAGGTGAGTGCTGGGGGCAGTTTATTGGTGGGTCAGTCAAAGGGTGGGCTGGCTAGGGTGGGGTAGGGCAGCAGTTTATCTGGCCCCCGAGAAACCCAACTGGAATCCAGGGCCTCATCTGCTTCGAAGCCAAAATCTTCCTCGACCTTAATCTGGGGGAAATAAGAAATACGGTAAGTAACAAGATAAGGAATAGGCCTCGGAATCTAGAAATTGCTCATCAGCCTTGCCATTCTTGCTTTCCCAGGCCAGGCAACTTCCTCTGTGTACCTCAGAGGCGATCCCAGTATTCCCAAGTCCAAACGTTTTTTGACTTTCCCCTTGCTCACCGCCTTTTCCACGCCATTTTCTCCGATCCTCCTCTACTCCAGCCTTCTCCAGTTATGTTTCTCCCCTTGAGGTCTTCTTTCCCTTTCCAACTTTGCCTCCTTTTCTATCCAAGCCTTTGCCTGACTTTTTCCAACCCTTCTCCTTCCCTGCCCAACCCCAGGACTCCTCCGACCCTTCCTGCTTCACCTCCTTTCTCCAGCTCTCTCTCGCACGTCGGGCCCCTCATGGCACAGCAGCAAAACCCAGGAGAAACCTGGAGCCCTGACGCCGCCTCCGCCCTGGGCGCCCCTCTCCCACCTGCACTGGGGCCAGCTCTGGAGTCAGCGCAGCTCCTGCTCGGCGTCCGTCCCGTGGTGCTCGCCGCCTCTTACGCCCGCTGGGCCCCTCACCGGGGGCCGGGCTGCTGGGTTCTGGGGGTATGGGAGTCCTTCTGGGCGGGGACAGTCCCTCCTTCTCTGGAGGCTCATTCTCAGCATTGCCTGGGGTGGGGGCATCTGTGCCCTGGCTGCCCTCGTCCTGGTGGGTGGAGGGGGAGGCAGGTGACGGTCATGCCTTGGGTTCCTGGTTCCCCCAACCTGCATGGAAAGCCAGCACTCACCTCCAGCACGATGGTAAACTGGCTGGCCCGGTAATCATCCCCGTAGGAGTCCAGCACTCTCATGAGGAACCTGCTCAGAGAAATGGAATAAATTCTCTTCTTCTACCAGCTGGGGAAAAGGGACGGATGACAGAGCTTAGCTCTCACTCCACCTGAAGTCAAAGCTGTCCTCGACCCAGAAGGTTCAGAGCTGTGGAGTCAGTCTGAGAGGCCTGGAAACTGAGCATTT